TTTTTTGTAAGTTGTACCATTATTTTAATGCCATTACATACAGATAATGTATTATGTAGTTATGTGCATTACATAAATTAGTCACACAAGCCTCTAGTTATCTTGAAATCTAGGATTTTCCTATTTCTCCCACCTTAGGTAGTATTGATTAGGACATAATAAAATCATAGCATGACCTTTCTGAACATATTTCAAACAGCAATTAAATTCAACATTTGTACTATGAACAAAGAGAACAACTCAAGTGAAGTGTAGACACTGTGAAAAGCTATCTACAAAGTTTACACACATATGTAGACAACAATAACTACATTCTGACTGTTGCCTGGCCTACAATGTTTGTGAGACACCATTGCTTATAAGCTATTTCCTGATTTCAGAGAGATTAGATGAGAAAAAATGTGCCTTTTAGAATTGTTACAATATGAACAATCAATTTCCCTCCTCATCAATACTACTTATTACTCACCATCTATTATCTGTATGTTTCTAAATTCCTTACATACCACCCAGTCAGTGTTGCTCAGTGATTGAGTGTTGACCCATAAACCAGGAGGTCACAGTTGAATTCCTGGCCAGGGCATATACCTGGGTTGCCAGCTGGATTCCCAGTGAGAGGTGGACAGGAGACAGCCAACAGTAGTTCTTTCTGATCACTGATGTTTCTTTCTCTCCCTTTCTTTCTGAAATCAGTCAGAAAGATTGATTGTGCATTTTTAATATCTGCCCTGCTGAATCATTTTTAAACCAGATATATTCATTACTTTGAATTCATAATTCATAATATTCATTATGAATTACTTTGAATTCATAGATTCATTACTTGGAAAAAAGAAAAACCAGATGTGGCCGAACAAGCTAGCATCTAACTCCCTCCAGCTTTCAAATCCAGACTACAGAGCCAGGTGTGGAGGCTTCTATCCCAAGGTGACAGGAGACCTCTGAAGTACCCTTCAGCATCACTCTGGATGTGCTGCCTCAGCGTTTTTTAGAGTAATGGGGAGAACGGCTTGTGCAATTGCTAAGTACGGTGGCCTTTTGTCCTGAATCCATTAGGATTCTATGGAGCCACAACCTTACAGAAGACCAGTTCAGCTATGGTAATAGCTACCATTCATTAGGTACATTTGTATGCAGATGTCATACTCTGTGCTGTTTAAATATCTTACTTACTAAACCACGCTGTTATTTTTTTGTTTTTGTTTTTGTTTTGTTTTTTAGCATTTTTAGCAGTATTTTTATTTATTTTTGTTTTGTTTAAAGTATTGCATATAGTATCACATATGTGTCCTTTCTCCCCATTGACCTCCCCCCATCCACACCCACCTCCCCGCACATGCCCTCACCCCTCTAACATCTGTATCTGTGTCTATTGGTTTGCTTATATGCATGCATACAAGTCCTTTGGTTAATCTCTTACCACTCCCCACCGCCAAGCTGTTACTATATCCATTTTGCAGATGAAGTAACTAAGACCTCAGGTGAGGGTAATTAATTAACCAGATATCACATCTATATAATAAAAGGGTAATATGCAAATTGACCGAATGGTGGCATGACCAGTTGTGATGATGTGCACTGACCACCAGGGGGCAGATGCTCCATGCCGGAGTTGCCCCCTGCTGGTCAGTGTGCTCCCACAGGGGGAGCACACTTCAGCCAGAAGCCAGGCTCATGGCAGGCAAGCACAGCGGCAGTGGCAGGAGCCCCTCCATCCTCTGCTGTAGGGCTAAGGATGTCTGACTGCCTGCTTAGCCTGCTCCCAGTCATTCCTCGAGGGCTCCCGGGCTGAGGGATGCTCCCCCTAGGGCACGAATTTCATGCACCAGGCCTCTAGTAGCTAATAAAACCCTTGGTAGGAATTAAAATTCATTGTTTTAACAACTGCACTCTATTACCTGCTAATTAGTCAGTTAAGTGACCTAATTACATGAGAGGGAGGTATTATGAAGGCTGTTGGAGTTATGAATAGTGGGAATTATGATTCTTTTGGATTTTCACAGTGATTTGGAACTGGATTCGTTTTTCTTTTTTGCCCTAAGAAACAAGGCAATCTAGCACAGTCATATTGGCCTAGGCTTAAATTCAGCTCTGCCATTTATACTATGACCTCAGATGATTTGCTGAATTTCTTTTAATCCTTTATTTCTTCATTCATGTAACAGAATTCCTAACTGAGCCTACTGCTTAAGGCTATTGAGAGGATAAAATAAACTGTGTAGGTTATGTGAACATTCAGCATAATGCCTGGCCATGCAGAGTAAGTGCTCAAAACATTACTGAGGAACCCCTTATTCTTTTTAATGCCACTTCAACAGGTGGGCAGGAAGCATGAAATTAAGATGTTCTACATATAAAACATGTTAAACTCTCCTAATGAAAGGTATTTTTAATTTTTTTCCCCTTCCTTTTTTAAAAATCCTTACCTAAGGATATATTCTCATTGATTTTTAGAAAGTGGAAGGGAGGGAAGAAAGGTGGGGAGAGAGAACCACTGATGTGAGAGAGACATATTGATTGCCTCCTGCACAACCTCCCTGGTCCGATTCAGGCCAGGGATGAAAACCTGCAACCCAAGTAGGTGCCTTGGACAGGGAATTGAACCCTCGACTCCCCAGATGTTCTAATCACTGGGAACAGTGAAGTAATTAAGACCTCAGTTATCACCAAAGTTAAGTAGCTAATCATCACTCACAAAACCATTCAGACTATAATTAAATTACTGTTAATTATAATTTATACAGAGTTGAACAGTAAATAATGTACTGTGCTTTAAGTTAACGTTTTTGAACTTCATAAGAATCCTGTATGGTAGATACTAGTAGCATCCCAGCTTTACAAATTAGAACACATGCTCAGGGATTCAAGTATGAATGTTTCTTGGATTCTTTCCTTGGTCAACTTAGTGAGTGAGAACTACCGAGTTTTTACTTAATAAAGATTGTTAATAGAAAAAGTAGTCTGAGTCTCAAGATCCATTATAAAGTTAACAGATACAAAAGCAAACTCATACATGGAAAACGTGGTTTCTTCCTATAGGTATCGGACAAAAAAAAAAAAAAGTTTGAGCCGGGACCGGTTTGGCTCAATGGATAGAGTGTCGGCTTGGGGACTGAAGGGTCCCGGGTTTGATTCCGGTCAAGGGCATGTATCTTGGTTGCGGGCATATCCCCAGTAGGGGGTGTGCAAGAGGCAGCTGATCGATGATTCTCTCTCATCGATGTTTCTAACTCTCTATCTCTCTCCCTTCCTCTCTGTATAAAATCAATAAAATATATTTTTTTAAAAGTTTGATAAACACTGATCCTGTGTCTAGCTTCACATTTTTACTTGCTGTGGGAGCTTTAATAGTCAGTCTAACTGATTTATCCATTTATAAAATAAGGAGGGGAAAAAATTTTTTTTTCTGTACTTCCTAGAAGGCTTTTTGAACATCAAATGAAATAACAGATGTAGAAAAAAAGCTCTGGTGCCAAAACCAGGTTCGATTCCAGTCAAGGGCATGGGCCATGGTTGCGGGCACATCCCCAGTAGGGGGCGTGCAAGAGGCAGCTGATTAATGATTCTCTCCCATCGATGTTTGTAATTCTCTATCCCTTTCTCTTCCTCTCTGTAAAAAAATCAATAAAATATAAATTTGAAAAAAGAAGAAAAAAAGCTCTGGAAACTGGAAACCTTCTATAAATATGCATGTACCTTTGTAAACTTGGATTTGGGGGCCTAAGAAAGAGTTGCAGAGGAGATTCAGAACTTCCAAGAACTCCACAACGTTCTGCCTTAGCAGGTCTGTCATTGCCCCTTCCTCCCTCTCACAGTGCAGGCTGCAAAGTAAGAGGAAGGAGTACGAATTCCTTGTGAACTTCCATTTCTTGCGATTTTCCTGCCTCTTAACTATAAAAGGGCAACCATTAGTTCCTCTCCTGACAAAAGTCTCTTCCTGAGAAGAGATGTTAATGTATTGCAAAAAGTCCCCATAAAACTACCATCAAAAACGGAATTGAAAAAAATACAAGCAAGAGAAATTAAGCTCTTCACTGCACACAAGCCCAGAGTTTGGTCTTTTCTTTCAATCACCAATCACTAGGATTTGAAAAAAAAAAAAAAAAAAAATCACCAGTTACATATTGAATACTCCTGTATATAGGCTCTTAACCAAAAATTACAACTTTGAGACAAACATTTTCTTTCTAGTTTATTACCCATTCTGGAGGCAGTGATTTATTAACCTGGATAAATACACAATTCCTAAAGGGTAACATATGTTGTGTGTTTTTGTTTTTGTTTTTTCACAAATTCTAATAGGTTGAGTGAAAAGGGTTATCCAAATACTCAGCTCTTCCTTATGGAAACAATCCCCTTTAATAAGATCAGGTATTTCCTGGGCCTTGATTACTTGTTGTCCCACGAAGTCCTCTGTCCTCCAAACATTGTGCTTAGCTCCACCTAAAATATGATGTGGCCTCCTTTCTCAGCTGGACACCCGGCCGACCCGCCGGGTCACTGAAGACAGACACGCTGTTCGCATCACTAACCAGGAGTCCGTGGGCAGCAGCGAGCTCCACGGGAGCATCTGGGCTGCGGATGCTACCAATCACCCTTGTAACTTTAAGAGGAATGCATCCAATTTAGGAAACTAGGCGGCACCAGCCCTCCGCCCTCCCTCGGAGGTCGGCCTGGGAGGAGGCGAGGCAGTGGGTGAAAGACGACTTTGGCTTTTGCCCTCCCGCGGACTTTGTCCCTCCCCGATCGCCCAGTCCGAGCAGCCGCTGCCGGAGCCAATGGTCGGGGACCGCCCCTGGCCCAGCCCCGCGGAAGGAACGGTTTCGGAGTTGTTTGTTTCTCTTTAATAGAGAAGCCCTGCCTCGCTCTGCCTTGGACTCCCTCCCTCTCTCTCCCTAGGGTTAGACGGAACCACCCTCCCCTTCCCCTTCTGCAGCTCAGGGAGTGATTGGTAAACACCCCACATCCTTGCAGCAGCAGCAGCAGCAGCAGCGGCGACCATGATAAAGCTCGTCCTGGACTGCCTCCTGCTCCTGCCCCTGCTGCTCATCTTCCTCCTGGAGTCTCTCCTCAAGTCCTTCATCCCCAAGAAGAGGAAGTCGGTGGCGGGAGAAGTCGTCCTGATTACGGGAGCCGGGCACGGCATCGGGAGGCTGACCGCCTATGAGTTTGCCAAGCTGAAAAGCAAGCTGGTGCTGTGGGACATCAATAAGGTAAGTCGTGCGGGGCTTTGCCGTTTCCCCCTCTCTGGTACCTGGAATCGGCGGGCAGGTGTGCGTGCTGCAGGCAGCAAGCCCTGACGGCATGAGCTGTGAAGGAGGAGGTAGGGAAAAACTGCTATTGCCAAGTTATAGATGGGGGGGGGACGACAGACGGATTAATGAATGTGTTTATGACCATGTGATACAGGGACCTGGAGGATAAGACTCTCGGTTGCTGCTCATTTAACATGTAAATGTATCCTCACTCCTGCCCTGGAAGTAATTTGTGATTTCCTCCTCAACTTGATTTCACTGATCCCTCCGTCTTAATCACAGGGAAAAAGTAATAGTTTTAGCTAGTATAATAAACGAGTAAGAGGGTTGTACCTATTAAGGAAAAAAAAAAATCCTACTTGCAGTTAATTGAGATAAGAGGGTGTAAGATACCCAACAGAAAGCAACATTACTATGCCATAGTAATTTCCAAGAGTAACTTTAAAAAAACAAACAAAAAAAAACACATTTTAGTTAAAAACAACAAAAAAGAAAAGCTTTAATGTAATTTTTACCAGAATAGGTATAGGCTTAAGGAAGAGAGGGGGACTTAGAATCTTTTTTTTTTCTTCAAAAAAATATGTTTTTGTTGATTTTTGAGAAGAAGGGAGAGGGAGAGAAGCAATGGATCTGCTGCCTCCTGCAAGCTCCCTACTGCGGATTGGCCCTTGGGCCTGCTGTGACATCTTGGTTTATGGGAGGATGCTCAACCAACTGAGCCACACGGGCCAGGGCTAGTGATTGATGTACAAAGAGGTTCCTGGAAGCATGCTGCCTGAAATGCCATACCTTACACATGGGTTACAATGATGTAAGCAAGAATTTCCGGGATGTGAAGTTAGATGATCGGCCTGGCCAACCCAGTGTGTGGTAATTGAGAGAGCAATCAACAAGTACTTCCTGAGTCGCTGCTGCCTAGATTTTAGGAACACAGGCCAAACAGGAGACAGGGTCAGATGCCCTCACTACAGTAAGGAAAATAGACATTAAACAATGACACATACAATGAAAAATACAAACTAGGCCCAGCCTCGTCTGGTGCTGACAAGGAAGTGTCTGGTAGGGTGGGGTCAGACTCATCTGACCTCTCTACTACTTCATTGATATTTACCCAATACCCTGGGTAACGCCCTAGAGCAGAGTTCCGCAAACTCATCAATCAACAGAGCCAAATATCAACAGTACAGCGATTGAAATTTCTTTTGAGAGCCAATTTTTTTAAAACTTAAACTTCTTCTAATGCCACTTCTTCAAAATAGACTCTCCCAGGCTGTGGTATTTTGTGGAAAAGCCACACTCACGTGGCTCATGAGCTGCCGTTTGCCGACCATTCCCCTAGAGCTTTAGGTTCCTTTTCTGAAAAATTGATGAAATAATGGTACTTACCTTAGAGGGCTGGAAGGATTACATCAGATATTGCACACAAAGCACAGGTTCTGGCACTCAGTATATGCCAAATAGTGCACACTTACTGTGACATAAAATGGACTCCCCCTGGCCTTGAACTTTATGACCCAGCATCACCAATCTCCTAATGCTTCCCCAGAGGGTCTTCCCCCCTCCCCCCTTTTTAAAAAAATATATTTTATTGATTTTTCACAGAGGAAGAGAGAGGGATAGAGAGTTAGAAACATCGATGAGAGAGAAACATCCATCAGCTGCCTCTTGCACACACCCCCACTGGGGACGTGCCCGCAATCAAGATATATGCCCTTGACCGGAATTGAACCCGGGACCTTTCAAGTCTGCAGGCCGATGCTCTATCCACTGAGCTAAACCTGTTTCAGCTTATCTTTCTCCTTTACTTACACTCTGTCTGGCGTGTCCTGCCCTCTCTTTGCATAGCTGTTTTGCTCAGGCTTACGATCCACTTCAGGTACCTCCTCTTCTAGAATTGTACTATGACCCTTCTCTGTGTTCCTGTAACTCTTTGCAGATCTGTTAATAAACTTATCACAATATATTAGTTTGAACCATATGAAACCGCCAATATCCAATCCTTTATTCTAAAACAATAACAGTTTCACCCTGGTTGGCATGGTCCAGTGGTTAGAGCATCGGCCCACCCACCGAAGGGTTTCAGGTTTGATTCCAGGGCAAAGGCAGGTACCTTATTTGCAGGTTCAATCCCCAGCCTGGATTGGACACGATGTGCCTCTCTCATATCCATGTTTCTCTCTCCCTCTTCTACTCTCTCTCTCCCTCTCTCCCCCTCTTCCTTCCACTCTCTAAAAATCAATGTGAAAAAATATCCTTGGGTGAGGATTAACAACAACAGTAACAACAACAACAAAATGAATATAACAATTTTGGATGGTCCTACCTAAATATTATACTTATTTATTTTTTTCTTTCTACAACACTGAGCTCACTGAGGTTAGGACTCTGGCTCATTCATATTTGTGTCCATAAGGTTCTTCTAAGCACCAAGAATATGACCTATACATTAAAATGTTGGGGGAAATGAGTGATTGAATGAATGATAGTTAACTCTTTATTTATTTTGCAGCCAGAAAATTGATGGCCATGAGTAACTTTTAGTGACAGAGAAGAAAAAAAAAAAAAAAGCTTAGTGTTATTTTTTAAAGCCTAATCTGGAATATACACTCATACATAACTATGCACTCCCAATGCAAAATTAATCATACAAAATTTTAAGATTTTTATCTTATTTTTCAAAGCTTGCCTTCAATTCATTTCCAGCTAAAAGAAGCTCTGCAAAGCATTGTCAAAAACATGTCAGTTGAATTCTTGCTCAATCCCTATTCCAAGAATCTGACTCCCCTTAATTATTTTCAGCTGTTGATATAGTTGGCTCACCATTATTGTGTTCTCTTGCCTCTTTGTTGCTTTTCCTAGCATGGCATTGAGGAAACAGCGGCTGAATGCAGGAAACTGGGTGCGCAGGCACATGCCTTTGTGGTAGACTGCAGCAACCGAGAAGATATTTACAGCTCGGCGAAGAAGGTGACATTTCATATTTGGTTGGAATCATCTTGTGTCAGGGCTGGGAGGGATTTTGGAAATGGCCCAGTCATGATGCAGACAAACTAACAAAAGTTGGTGATTTGCCCAAGGCTGTACAGCTAGCTAGTGGGCATACCCAGAACCAAAGCCCAGAACTGAGGTTCCAGACTTTAATGTGTCCCAAAATCTTCCAGGCAGCTTGTTTAAAAGAGAGAGAGGGGAAAAAAAATAGGCACCCCAGAAGTTTTCTTTCAGTGGGTCGAGAGCTGCGCCCAGGAATTTGCATGTTTAGTATCCTTGCACCCACACCTCCCCATCTGATTCTGATGCAGGTAAATCCTAGGGTGACGCTGCAGAATCACTAACAGTCTTCTGAACTCTGGTCAAAGAACTGAGTTAGGAAGATAATGGCTTATCGGGCTTTGAGCATAGACATATCTATTTCTATAAAGCAGTATCTGCCTAATCTATACATAACTGAGCTGTGCTATATATACAATGGTGTTTCTTCTGAACACATTCATGAATAAGCTTGTTAACTAAATGTGGTAGCAGTAGGAAGGCCAGTAGAATTACCTGGGCAAATTCCTTAAAATAGACCTTCCTGGACCTCACCCCTGGATATTCTGATTCAGTACAGTATAAAGATTCTGATTCCGTCCAGACTGGAGAATCTCTGGAATTTTAGTTTTGAGAACATCTTAACTTCTATTTTAAAGTATAGTCTTTTATTTCTAATTGATGCCTCTATTGTTGGCGAGGCCTTCGCTAGGTCAGTAGAATCAGTAGACATTACCCAGGCTAGTGTTGGGAAGTGGCCTTCCGGAAAGGGGGTAAGATCAAGGCCTTTAGGTAAGAAACATCTGCATTCCTCACCATAACTAATTTACTTACATTAATAATGATTTTCCTTCATGGAGATGAGTTAATCTTCCAGTTAATACTGGCTTTATCACCTTGGGCAAATTACCCAGCCTCTTTGTGCCTAACTTTCCTCAGTTATAAAATGGGGATCACAGCAGTCCCTACCTCTTAGGGCTGTTGTGGGCATTAAATGAATTAATGATGTGAAGTTATTAGAACAATACCTGGTGCTCAGTAGTCACGTGGTAAGGATTAGTTGTTAGTGTTATACTGTTGCCAGGGGAAATGGGGCCTGCTTGGGGCCTGGTAGGGTGAGCCCTGGGGAGTGTGTGAAGCTGTTACTTCCTGGTGAAACAAGCAGGCTTATGGCCCATATCAGCTCGCTGGCTTATTGGACTGAATAATGTTCTGATCCCTTTGCTCCTTATCTTTATGAACATCTAGGTACTCCTGCTAACAATAATAGAAACATAACAAAATCTATGTAATTTTGTTATCAGCCAATATTAAGAGGATTTAGTAGTGTTAGTTAATCCAAATGGAACACACTCATTTCCAGACTCATTTTAGGATAGGCTTTTCTGGGAAAGAAAACTTTATTATTTGAAACCATTCTATATTATTTTGAGCATAGTGTTTTCACAGAAATTGTTCTAAGATGAACTGTGTGCTTGAACAGAGTATGCACAATAGCATATGATTACCAGATATTTTGAAGTAGCTATTTTGATGAGGCTGTTTTGATATCAGGACACTTTTATGCCACCTAAATAATAAAGCTCTTGGCTCTCATTATTATTAATTAATAAATATTAATAAATATTAATTAATTATTATTCTTTCATTATTAAGAAAGTAGAAACCCAGTGCATGAAATTCGTGCACTCAGGGAGTTGGGAGTGTCTCTCAGCCCAGCCTGTGCCCTCTCGGAGTCCAGGAGCCCTCAGGGGATGTGTGACTGACAGCTTACTCCCATGCATGCCTAAGCTGGCAGTCAGACATCCTTAGTGCTGTCACGGAGGTGGAAGAGGCTGCACTCGCCAGCCATGAACCAGGCTTCTGGTTGCATGGTACTCCCACTGTGGGAGCACACTGACCACCAGGGGACAGCTCCTGCATTGAGCATCTGCCCTCTGGTGGTCAGTATGCATTATAGCAACCTGTCCATTCCGCCATTCAATTTGCATATTAGCCTTTTATTATATAGGATGTTCAAATCAACATTCTCATTCTGGGGAAAGACAATGGGTGATGATGGGGAGGATGACAGAAGGGCCAGAGGGTCTGAGCAAAACTTTGGCAATATGAAACAGTAATTTATATATTTATTTATTTATTTGTTTATTTGTAATTTATATTTTGAGTCATGGTAATTTGGAGGCATTACAGCAGCTTCATAAATTCAATCACAAGAAAGGTCCTGTTTTTCTCAATGTAGAGGCATTATTCTAAACAACAATTTTCCTATTGTGCTAGAGATGTGGATATAGGAACAAAAATGTGTTGATTAAGGACCAAAATAACTTACCTTGACTCTAATAATTTAATACAACCTGATGAAAGCATGACTGAGGAACTGATTTCCTTCTGGGATGGTGATGGGCCTCCCCCTCGTGACTTCCCCTTTGTTTGAGGTCTGAGATGTGTCCTGGTCTCTGAGGTCAGTAAATCTGGGAGAGCCCCAACTCCATGTGACCTTTAGTCACCATGTGACCTTTGGCAAGAAAGTGAGCCATTCTCAGTTTCATGTTTCTCATGAAAATGAGCATACTAAGAGTTGCTTTCTCAAAGAATCATGTGAGAGTTCAAGGAAATAGTGAAGTTCTGTAAAATGCATGGCAATTACATATGTGAAAGCTTTTAATAGGCTAGTTGCCACCGGCCCCTCAGTCCCCCAAGACACCACAGAGTTATCTAAATAATGATAGCTCTATTAATAGTGGCTTGCTTTTGTTTGGAACACAATGTATAACAAAATGCATTGTTGCCCTAGAGTTCTACCCACCAAGCAGCCTGAAATATAGAATAAGATACTCTTGCATTGCTAGCCCTTCAGTCTACTGCAACTTCATGGAGAAAGGTTGGGGAGCAAGAGAATGGAGAACCATAAAAATAAGTAGAGGATGTAAGTTATTTTAATGGTGTCATCGGTTTTACATAATTCCTCATAATAGTCCCTGCACTTGCCAATTAATTAACCTTTTTTTCCCTTACCTTTGAAAGTAGTATTTTAAAAATAAAGCTGCTTATTTGTCATGAGTTATATTTTTGTTAGCCAAATGCCTCCTGAGCTATAATCGATAGAGCAAAGTCAAGAGACTAAGTTACAAAAGAAAATGTACACGCAGAGTTATTTTGAAATTAATTACCTAAGATTAAAAAGTTCTCTTTTTTTTCATGTTGGCACATAGATTCAAAATTACATCCCCTCCCACACAGCTGATAAAAAAAATACACACTTTCAAAAGTAATCATTGCATGCAAACCTACCTGCATACTTCTTAATGATACAGATATTTTTCTTGTTTTTAAAGGTGAAGACAGAAGTTGGAGATGTTAGTATTCTGGTAAATAACGCCGGTGTGGTTTATACAGCCGATTTGTTTGCTACACAAGACCCTCAAATTGAAAAGACTTTTGAGGTTAATGTACTTGCACATTTCTGGGTAAGTATAATTTCTTTCAGTCTTCTTGTAAAACTTGAAGATTAAATTTAAAGTGAAGCTTTCATTAGATATAAGGACATATCAACTCAATGCTAAAGTTTTTGCTAGGTACCAGGGATAATATACAAAAAGATCATTTTTCTTCTTTTAAAATATATTTTTATTGACTTCAGAGAGGAAGAGAGAGAAACATCCATGAAGAGAGAGGATCATTGATTGGCTGCCTCCTGCATGACCCCTACTGGGGATCGAGCCCGCAACCCTGGCATGTGCCCCTGGCCGGAATCAAATCTGTGACCCTTCAGTCCTCAGGCTGATGCTCTATCCACTGAGCAAAATTGGCTGGGGCTAGGTCATTTTTCTTTTTGCTATAATCAAATTTCAGCAGTTATTTTTCCTTCCCCCTTAAAAAATATTAATAATAATAAATAAATAGTAATAAACCTCAGGTGGTATTTGTGTTTTCATTCTAAGCTAGATTCTCATGTCTCTGTCTGTTTAAAGATAAAGAGATTAGGGAGACTCTGAGATATCTTCAGTGGTTCTATAAAAGGGGAACTCTTGCTTTTTTTAGTCTAATGAGACCCAGGCCTCCCATTATATCCTGGCTCCAAATGCAAACTTTATTATGAAACTCACCATTCAAGGTCTTAAATACACACACACACAAAGTTTCTGAGGAGTCTACTGCCCAAATAGAGACCCTGAATGTTTTGGGATGAGTAATCTCAAAAGAATGTTGGAGTTATTTGGTAAAAATGCAGTATTATGTTATGTTAACATTCCCAAGTTGTTGATACCTATCTGTATTTTTATGACTTAGGAATTTGCTTATCTTTCTGCCTCTTTTGGAATGTAAGGTTTGGTCTTACCTGTTTCTGAATCCCCATCACATAATAGGCGCTCAGGAAATATTGTGTGGGTCATTCAGTGACTATTGGAAGACTGCTTTTCACTTCAATATTTTTATGGCAAACTCTTTCCTAACAATTTTACATTAAGATAGAATATATCATTAACAAAAGGTGATGGACTAGTGGACATAAGTTGTTTGCAATTTAAATGAGATGGATTCTTAAAGTTTTCAGTACCCATGGTTTACCTTAATTTTCCTATCCAATTGCCTTAGGTTGCCACATTTGGCAATTAATGTAGGTATTTTAATTTATGTCAGGAACAATGTTAACAGAATGTATCTTTGTTTCAAACTATTTCCAATGGGTCTGCAAATCAGAAATAATTTTTTTTTCTGTTTTATAATAACTACTTCTAGACCACCAAGGCATTTCTTCCAGCGATGATGAGGAGTAATCACGGCCATATTGTCACTGTGGCTTCAGCAGCTGGGCATACTACAGTTCCCTTTTTAATGGCTTATTGGTAAGTGAACATGTGTGTTTTCATTGGTTGCTATGCTTAGCTTTGTTGCACAATCTCTTGTGCAACAACATTATCAATTATTAATTCCCCGACTCTGTTGACCACTCTAGAGGTGGCTACAGAGAAATTACCCAATTAGAAGCCAACTGCTTCAACATTTTTTATCTCTTTTAGTAGCAAGAGATTATAAAATAAGAGCAATACCATGAACAGAGTTCATATTTATAATTTTAGACCTGGCCGGTGTAAATAAGTAGTTAAAGTGTCAGCCCAAGCACCAACAGGTCTTGGGTTCCATTCCCAGGCAGGGGCACATGGCTGGGTTGCAGGTTGATCCCCAGCCTGGTCAGGGAGTGTATGGGAGCTACTAACTGATGTGATTCTGTCAACGTCATACTTCTTTCTCTCCCCGCCCACCTCTCTCCCTCCCTCTCTCTCTTTCTCCCTCTCTCTTTCTCTCTCTCTCTCTCTCTTTCTTCTCTTCCTCCCTTTCACTCTCTCTCTCTTTTTTAAAATATATTTTTATTGATTTTTTTACAGAGAGGAAGGGAGAGGGATAGAGAGAAACATTGATGAGAGAGAAACATTGATCAGCTGCTTCCTGCACACCCCCTACTGGGGATGTGCCCGCAACCAAGGTACATGCCCTTGGCCAGAATTGAACCTGGGATCCTTCAGTGGGCAGGCCGACACTCAGAGCCAAACCAGCCAGGGCTTTCAGTCTCTCAAAAAAAAAAAAAAAAAAAAAAAAAAAGGAAAAAATGTCATTGGGTGAGGCTTAACAACAAAAGTATGAATACATAAGTTTGCAAAGATATATACCAATCCATTTATCTAACCACACCTACAGAGTGGTTATTCTCAGGTAATGGCAATAAAAGTGATTTTTATTTTATTTTTGTTTTCTTTTTTCCTTTCTGACCATTTATTTGTTTTATAATAGTTTTAAAATAAATATAATCATGGATTGAGTTGTGGGGTTTTTTGTTGTTATTGTTTTTTAAGATGAAATAACTGCTGAAGCAGTCATAGAACAGATCTACAGTCCTTGTCTCTTTCGGAGTAAATTTAAGTTAGGAGATTGGCCGCTACCATCAAGGGCTAGCACAGTTTTACATGGCCAGCACATGACATGCCACTGCCCTGCCAAACTCCGTCTTCGTCCCAGCTAATTAGAGAACATCAATTAGGGCCATCAATCCTGATGGGCTTCCTCCTTCCCTTGCCCCAGTGAACATCGTAGTTCTTCTGATTCTGAGTTGGTTCTACCACTGAGGTTTGCAGAGAAAGTCAAGCGAGAATGTGCTTTGTGTGTGAGAAAGAGATTTATCATGGTGACTGGTGATGGTCTGTCAACAGAAGGAAAGGTCCTTATCAGGTATTGTTGGAGCTGGGACAACATACCCAGCTGGGCAGATTGTGTGCTGCACAATTCTAGGGGGCGCTGCTCGCATTCAGGTCATTTTACAGGTGAATGATTTTCCAGATGTATAGGCAGTAAAATAGCTTGAGGAGAGAAGTGGCCTTTTCAAATTCACACAGAGGCGCCATTTGGGTTGCAGCTACACAGGTGGAGTGTACACATGCAGCTTTGGGACAGACCTGTGCTGTGCTCGCCCTCCCAGGACTCCCTGGTGGACCCTCGGCTCTCACTGGCCTGTGATCCTTACTGACCATAGTTATCTAAAATTCAGCTGGCTCTGGTTTTTGCTCAATATTAGATCAATGGCAGAGCTTGCACAGAGACACACAGAGGACTTCACCACGCAGAATACAATATTTATCAGCTGTTGTTTTCACCGATTGGGCGTTTAAACTGAGATGCTGCTTTTAAAAACATAAACTGAAGTATAACATACACCTATCAAAATGCAGAAATCATGAGTGTACCGCTCAATAAGTTACTTCAAGGTGGACGCAGCTATTTAACCTCCATGCAGGTCAAAATCAGAACTTTACAGAAGTGCCTCTTCCCAATCACCAATTCCTCTTTCCTTCCCAGAGGAAACGCCTATATTGACTTGTTATACCATTGATTATTTTGCCTATTTTTTATCTTTATATGCATGGAAGCCCACTATGTTTGTAATGCTTATCCATGTTGTTGTTGGTAACTGTAGTTTAAACACTTTCATGCCCATCTAGTATTGCATCACATAGGTAAACAATTTATTATCCTCCCACTGTTGATGGACATTTGCATTGTTTACAGGTCATGATTACTATGAGTAATAATGTTTGAAATCTTGACTTAATCACTTAACTAACCTTATGTGATCTTTGGCAAGCTACTCAACTTATATATGCATCATTTTCCTCAGCCATAGCAACTAATTAACTCATCAGGATGCTGTAAAGTTTAAATCTGTAATGTCATGCACTTAGCATAGTGTCTGGAATTCTGCAAGTGTTCGATAACAGGAGGATACCTATTGATTTTCTGTGCCATGACATTGGCACTCTCTGTTTACACACCTCTCATTTTAATTTCCACAATGCTTTGTCTTAGTGGAATGAATCATATATGCTCTGCTCCTATTTGTTAGAATGAAATCAAAGGGGACCCAGAATTACCTGTTTTAGGCCCTTCAGCTATCATTATTCTGAGTTGCTCCAGCCATGCCAAAAGAATCTATTACAACTCTAATCACCTATTAGAAAACAAGTCAATTTCTTTTGGATTTATAGTTCAACAGTTTTAATAATTAATGTTTAAAAAAGCAAGATGGAAAAACTGAATTCATGATGAGAGCTTAGTCTTTTGATTGAGTTCCTTTGCTGCTTACTAAGTATTTTGTCCAAAAGTGTCTTGATTTTTAAAAAGAAAGCAATTTGGTGCCACAGAACTCTGGCTAATACATCTTGTCAATTCAAATAGCCAATTTGTAAGCATGAAAGTTAGCAGCAGTATGGCAAGACAAGGTAAGACTGAGTTCTGATCTTAGCTTGTAATGAAATGTTATTTAAAAAAATAATTTGGAATAAGAAATATTAGTTCAGATTGCTAAGAATAAGAAATGTGATATACTGTTACAAAGTGTAGGGGGGAAAAACGCACTCAAAGGTTCAAAACCATAAAATTATTTTAACACATTCAAGATCATTAACTTTAGTTTTAATATTTTTCTGCATTCTTGATTCACTTTAAAAAATTAGAAAATACATTTCAGGAAAAGAAAAAAGAAAATTTACTGATAATTTCACCATGCAGGAAAGAAAAAACCTTGGTAAGCATTTGTTAGAATTTCTTAGGGCACTTTATTTACTTATTTAAAATATATTTTTATTGATTTTAGAGAAAGGAAGAGAGAGAGAGATAGAAGCATCAACGAAGAGAGAATCTCTGATCGGCTGCCTCCTGTATGCCCCCTATTGGGTTTCGTAGCTTGAAACCTGGGCTTGTGTCCTGACTAGGAATCAGACTGAGATGTTTTGGTTCACAGATCAACACTCAACCTCTGAGCACACCGGCCCAGTTAGGGCATTTTACATGCAGATATATATAGCCATTCATTGAGAAAAAAAAAATCTATATACATGATCTTGCTTTTTAAAAAATTTAAAATAAGCTTTTTGCCTGTTAATAAATGTATATGTGCTACATCATTTTTAATTTCTGCATGGTATGCAACTGTTTTTCTCTCACATCTCTCTATCTCTTTTTCTTTGTTCTCGCTTCCCTCCCTCCCATTTCCTCTCTAAAATTCAATAAATTTAAAGAGAACTTTCCACAGCTTTGTATTTCCCAAAGCACGGGTTAATTTATAAGAATTTAGAGCTACTTTATATAATTGCTAATCCATATAGATTTCTAGAAGAATAATCTATCTGATAATGCCACTGAACTTTGCACACTCTAAATTGGTTAAAATTTCAAATTTTGTTACATATATTTTTCCACATAGTTGTTTTTAAATGAATGTTATATTCTAATAACTATTGAATTGTACACTTTAAATGAGTCTATATGGTATGTGAATTTATATCTCAATAAAATTGTTTTTCTAAACACCTAACTGGAATCATAATACCCACTTAAAATATGGTTAATGTCTTTTCTCTTTCCAAATCTGCTCTGATGGAAAACTGAAGATTATTATATAATGGGGAAATAATTTAGACCAGGGGTTAGGAAAGGCCTCTTTGAGGAAGTCAAGCTGAGACTTAAAGGAAGAAAAGAACTTATGCAGGAAATTTTTCCAATGAATTTCATGAACATATTAAACAATGAGTAGCCTACAGTGTCATTCAATTTTATGGGAACAGCAACAACAAAACAAGCACCCTACCAATTCCCCTAACAAAACATTTAAATCTTCTCAGATGTCACTGATAAATAAAGGATGTTGGGGTGCAGTCAGTGCTTCCTTTTTTTTTTTTTTTTTTTTTTTTATTTGAGAGGAGGGGAGAGGGAGAGACAGAAACATCAGTGATGGGAGTGAATCATTCTGCATGCCCCCAACTGGAGATTGAGCTCTTAAAAAGGGGCATGCACTCTGACCAGGAATAGAACTGTGACCTTCTGGTTCCTAGGTCAACGCTCAAGCACCGAGCCACACTTGCCAGGCCTGTCAGTGCTTCTTAGACTTGAATGTGCCTCGGTTGCCCCAAGGATCTTCTGAATGCAGGTTCTGTGTCAGCAGATCTGGGCTGGATGTTTTTGAGATCCCAGTGCTGCCCACACTTCTCAGCAGGGGACCACACCTAAGGAAAACAGATTTTCGAATTAAACAGAAGCAGCAGTTTCCTTGAATTATTTTGTAACCTCTCTCTGTGTATTTTCAGCTCCAGCAAGTTTGCTGCTGTGGGATTCCACAGAGCTTTGACTGAAGAACTGGCGGCCTTGGGAAGAACTGGAGTCAAAACCTCATGTCTCTGCCCTAATTTCATAAACACCGGCTTCATCAAAAACCCAAGCACCAGGTAAGCTGAGACAGAAATGGAGATAAAAGGGTTGGCGATTACGTGAGAATGAGCCACTCTGTGGGGTTTCTTAAGTATTTTAATCCTTTAAATACCTGGTATTCAATGCCCTTCGCTCATCTCAATTTCAGCTTCTGTAGATTGTGTGAAAACAGGTATAGAGACAGAGAGGGAGAGAATGTATACAAGTGTTCATATGAATGACCCAGGTGAACCTGCTAATCCTCCCCTTTTCCTTCCCCTAAGCCAGTGTTTCCCAAAATGTGGTATGTGTACTCCCAGGGGTATGTGGGGGTACGAATTGCACCGGAGTTTGGTGGGGATATGTACTGCACCGTGCTTAGCTGCGCCTAATTCTACGTTCTCATGAGTACGAGGGGTACTCAGTGTTATAGAAATTATAGAAGGGGTACACATATGTCAAAAGTTTGGGAAACACTGCCCTAAGCAATGGTTCTTAGACATAAGTAGGCACACATTTCTGTGAGTGCTTGGGAACCATGTAGAGGACCCACCCTCAGGGATGCTGAATTTTATTCAGTTTGGTTGGGATGGGGTAGTTAGTAATTGGGTTGGGGACTTGGGACTGTGTATGTTTAACAAGCTTCACAGGCCATTCTGATGAAGATGATGAGGCCCACACTGTGAAAAACACTTTCCTTTGGTAATCTAGAGCTAATCTACCAGATTGAGTACCAGACCGTGATGTTTCCTTGGTTAAAAAGTAAAATTGTAAGGATCTGCTCTAAAGTTGATTTTAATGTTTTCTATTTTTGAGAATAGCTTTAAAGTTTTTATAAACATAATGTATACTTTTTAAAAATTCCAGCACACAGGAATGTACAAATAGGAACGTTTTGTTTTAAAATTTCTTAAAATCTTCTATCCAGTGGAAACCACTCAACATTTCGATGAATATCCTTCTAGACATTTTCCTATGCACAGATTAAATGTCTAAATTGTATGTAACTAGCATATATTACACACGCGATTCTAGAAATAGTAAGTAAACTGCTCACTTCCCTCAGCATGATGTTTATAGATAGTACTGTATTAGAAACTTCGAAGTTGCTAAGTAGTTGGATCTTACTGTTCCCACCACAAAAAAGAAATAATAATTATGTGGCATGACATAATTATGCTCACGCTGTGGTGATGATCATACTGCAATATGTAACTATATCAAATCAACACGCAGTACACCTCAAACTTACACCCTGTGATGTTTCAATTATGTCTCAATAAAAATTAATTAGAATAGTTCACTAAAACTGAAAGGTGGTGTCAAAGGAAGAGGCATCATACCCAAGGATAGGGTTTGCCAATTTCCTCCATTATTTTCAGAATTTAAGTACTAAAATAATATATTTGAGCCAAGTTTCCCTCAGTTAGACTGTCTTTCAGCGGTTAAAAACAGACAGCAGATATTTAAAAATTATAATTGGATTTTTTTTCCCCTCACCCCCAGAACAGGGCTGCACGAGGCTTAGAATTGAATGTGCCTCTCAGTTGCCCCACAGATCTTTGAATGCAGGTTTGGTGTCAGTCGATCTGGGCTGGGGTGCCCTCTTCTGGCAAAGCTCCACTAGTACAATCTTATATAACAAAAGGCTAATATGCAAATTGAACGAACCTTGGAACGACCAGTGGCCTTGATGCACACTGACCACCAGGGGGCAGATGTTCAATGTAGGAGCTGCCCCCTGGTGGTCAGAACACCAGAAGCTGAGCTCATGACTGGTGAGCGCAGTGGCAGTGGCGGGAGCCTCTCCCACCTCCAAGGCAGTGCTGAGGATGTTCGACTGCTGGCTTAGGCCTGCTCCCCTAAGCCGTCTGTCGGACATCCCCTGAGGGCTCCCAGACTGTAAGAGAGTGCAGGCCAAGCTGGGGAAGGGACCCCCTTCCCCAAGTGCACGAATGTTGTGCACCAGGCCTCTAGTCTATACTAATAAAAGGCTAATATGCTAATTAAACCAGATGTCTTCTAGATGTTGCAGCGACTGCAAGGGCTGAGTAAGGCTGGTGGTTGGAGTGGCAGTGGCAGCAGCAGCAGGGTGATGGAAGTGGCAGCAGTGGCAGGGTGATGGAAGTGGCGCCTTCCCCTGATCGCCCCGGCGCCTTCCAAAGAGGGAGGCCAGGCCTGCTCCCCTGTGATAGAAACATCAGTGATGAAAGAGAATCATTGATAGGCTGCCTCCTGCATGCCCCTACTGTGGATCAAACCCACAACCACTGAACCACACTGGCTGGGTATAATACTACTTTTCTTATTTGTCCCACCTTTACTGCATATGTAATCTCTTTGAACGACCCATTCTGTATTTGTTCATGAGGAATCTCATCCAATTCTTTTTGTCTCACTTCTCTTAACTAATCACAAAATTTAACATCTGCCTCCACAAAATGTTAGTCACCCAGTTTGGTGACACTGGCAAATTTGAGAAGTTTATTTACTTATGTATCTTTTTATCTAAGTCATTAGTAAGATGTTAAAAACTCAGGACCAAGTCTTGTGCAACTCCATCCATCCTGAATGCATTTATTCTAACACCCAGATAATAAAGGTCACTTTTTCGGAATTGCATACTACTCAGTAGAACATATACCAAGGTGATTGATTAAACAGTGAAGATGTAACATGGAACTAAGTAACAACACCGGAAATGAAACAAAGACCTAATAAAGTGGTGAAGTCAGATCATCAAAGCCATATTAGCATTTCATATAGACATCAAGGACCTAAAACCAGACACATTCCTGTATTTTAATTCCATGACACTTTAGAATTTATTCACTAAAACATCCATATAATTGCACTTGCATAATGGTGTCTAACTTCTTTCCCAAAGCTTCTGAAGATTTAAAAGTGAATTTATCAGTCTTAATCTAGCTAAATTATTTTTTGAGTTTTAGTTATGTTTATACTCCTCATTTGCATAATAGGGACTATGGTCTCTCCTTCATAGGGTGTTATGAAATTTCAAAGAGATAACCTGTGAGAAATGCTTAGCACTGTGGGCTGTACATGATAAACACCATGTAAATGGTTGTTGTCATTAGTGCCAAAGCAGCTACCATCTTGGAATACTTAGGATGGGCTAGATGTCACAAGTCAGTTAGATTACAGTTCCTCAAGTAACATAACATATTTGTTTAGCACTACACTAAATCGGAAGCCTCCGTGAAATGATTTGCTTCTGATTTCAGTTTGGGACCCACCCTGGAACCTGAGGAGGTGGTGAGCAAGCTGATGAAGGGAGTTCTGACTGAGCAGAAGATGATTTTTGTTCCATCTACGGTAAAGCTTTTAACTGTGGTGGAGAGGTAAGCAATGTTTGCCAGCATTATGAATATTCATTCTACATGTTTTTACTCAGATTTGAGACCACATCTTTGTACAATGAAATGGAATTAAGTTAACAAAAATGATAGGTTTAAGGGATCCATTAATTTTTAAACTACATTTGTTAATGATTGAAGCGAGATTAGTATAGCAATTGGGTAAATGAGCTGAATAATTTCCACAAGTTTTTAAAGAAATTTATTTAAATTTTTATATATATTTTTTTTTTAATATTTTGGAAGTCTTATAAATGAATAAATATGAAGAAAGACCGTTTTTAAACATTAGTACATAATGGAATAATAGGACAATGATATTGGAGGAAGCCATAAGTTAAGTTTTATAGGGAGATATGGGGGAGATAAGAGATCAACCGAAGGACTTGAATGCATGCATATAAGCATAACCAATGGACCCAAAACTCTGGGGGGGGGGGGGGAGGGCATGTATGGGAGTGGGGGGTGGCAATGGTAAAATATGTACACATATAATACCTTAATAAAAAAAATGAAAATAAATATACAGCAGATAATCATTGAGCTCTCATTTTGTGCAAAATCATACTGAAGCACAGGCATTGCTAAGTAATTGTAGAGGTCCTCAAGCCTTGCTACCTCAGATGAGGTCCACGGGCCAACAGCATCTGCAGACCTGGGAGCTTGTTAGAAATACAGACTCTCCTGATCTCCCGGATCAGAATTTGCACTTTAATAAGATTCACAGGTGATCTGTATGCATATTCTGATTTAGGAGCATTTCTTTAGACCAGTAGCTCTCAACTTTGGTGCACATTGGAATTCACCTGGGAGTTTTAAACGTGCTAATGCCTGAAATCTACTCCCCAAGATACTGAGTTCATTGGTCTGGAGTGTGGCCTGGTGTCTGAGAGATGACTCTAATGCAGCCTCAGGATTGGAAAGCACTGGTTTAAAGAATGCCTCCTCCTAACACATGGTCTCATCACTCACCTGGGAAAGCTGTGTGACAGAGAGGCTGGTCAGGCAATGAGGGGAAGCGGAAGAGGCGCCTAAGGTTAAAAACAAAACAAAACTCTTCCTGTTCCTAGAGTCTAGCTTCTCCCTCATGGTAGGGTATTGGTACCACTGGGGAAGTCAGTTTAAAAAATAGCTTCCTGCCCTGGTCGGTGCACCAGAAGGTCACGGGTTCGATTCTGGTCAGGGCACATGCCCAGCTTGTGGGCTCGGTCCCCAGTAGATGACGTGCAGAAGGCTGCTGATGGATGTTTCTCTCCTCTCTCTCTAAAATAAAATTTAAAATATCGTATATATTTAAAAAATAGCTTCCTCACCTCTTGAGATTTTAATATAGGAAGTTTGAGTTGGGACTCAGAAATCTTTATTTTAACAGGCAATTGCCACAAGTAGTTGGTTCAAAGATCATACTTTGAGAACTACAGACCTAGAGACTGAAAAAAATGTAAGAGACCAAAAGCATTAGGACAGATGCCAGGTTTTTAGCGCCTTCTGCTCAGGGACTATGGTTGAACATACTTTAGAGGTTTCGGCAGTAAAGCTGGAGCATCTCCTTGGTGGGTAAACAAGTTAAAACCTCTGAGGTGTTAGCACTCGACTTGTCTCATCACCGAAGCAGGCACTCAGTGATTACAATGCTTTAGAATATAACTCGGTGAGGGAAGGAATTTGGCCTGTTTTCCTCACTATTTCCTCTGCACTTGGAAGAGTGGATAGACACATTCCAGCATCAGAATGTTTGCTGGTTGAATAAGTTAATTCTGTTTCCCAAACCTTTAACACAGAGACTCAAGGTTTGTGCTCTGGAGTTAGGCGAAGCTGTGTGTGTGTGTGTGTGACTTGCTTGCAACATGAACATGGATGAGTTATCTAACTTTTTGAAGTTCAGTTTCTCCATCTGCCAGATGGAGACAACAATAAGACTTATAGGGCTATGAGGAATAAATAAAATAAGGCATTTAAAGTATTTAGTACCCCATAAATACTCAATAAATGTTATCTATCACTGTTACTATTATAACTAGAGGCCGGTGCAACGAATTTGTGCATTGAGGGTGAGGGGGAGTCCCCTTAGCCCAGCCTGCACCCTATCCAATCCAGGATCCCTCGGGGAATGCCTTAACTTCTGGTTTAGGCTCGATCCCCCTGACTAAACTGGCAGTCAGACATCCCTCTCACAATCCAGGACTACTCGCTCCTAACTGCTCACCTGCCTGCCTGCCCGATCACCCCTAACTATCCTCCCTGCTGGCCTGGTCACCCAACTGCCCCCCCTACCAGCCTAGTTGCCCCCAACTGTCCCCCCAGCCACTGGCCTGGTAGCCCCTAACTGCCCCCCCTCATCAACCTGGTCACATCTTACTGCCCCTCTTGCTGGTCTTGTTGCCCCCAACTGTCCTCCCTGCCAGCCTGGTTGCCCTAACTGATCTCTCTGCCAGTCTGGTCACCCTTTACTGTCTCCCTGCCAGCCTGGTGGCCCCCAACTGCTCCCGCCCCCCACTGCCAGCCTGGTGACCCCCATCTGCCCCCACTGTGGGTCTGGTTGCCCCACATAGCCTGCTGCTCCATCATTTGGTTGCCCTTCACTAACCCCCCCCCCCCTCCCACTAGCCTAGTTGCCCCAGGCAGCCTGTTCAGTCTTCTGTTCGGTTGCAATCGTCGCTTAGGCTTTTATAGATATAGATTACCTCTGTTACCATTGCCTGATTTTCTTCTATGAATGTTCAGTGCTCAATTTCCAAACTGTATTTGAATGCCAGCCAGGCAGATGTCTGTATATAGTTACACTAACTTACATAGTCTATTTAGTTTCTCTCAGACTCATTGGAATGGGACCTTTTCCTCAATATTCTTAACTATGGAGTGGGGAGAAAAAAATTAGTCCTTCTAGATGTCTATCACTGTGTGTAAGGCATTTTATATTAACACATTGAATCTTCAAGTAACACTGAGGGGTAGGTGTTAATTTTTTCATTTCATGTGAGAAATTTGAACTCAAAAATTAAAATAACTTGTTCAGCATTATGCTGAAAACCAAGTATGTTGTCTGCATTTTATTGAGCAGTTCTACTTCTCCAGGCTCTTAATGGGCCATTTTGATAATATACTGGATTATAAAGTATAAAATTATTTCCTATTTTCACTTCTTTTCCAATGTCAGGTGTGTGTGTGTGGGGGGGGGGGGGTTAATAAAGCCTTTAGCATCTCAACTATTGAGTTCTATATACCTCATTTCACATATCTTTTGAGAAATGTAGAGTATATTTATTTTTAAAAACAAATATTTCAAGTCACTTCTGCTCTAAAGAATTAAACCTTTCTTTTCCTTATGAAAAGAAAATGGATTTACTTGGAAAGAACATATAGTAGTGACTATGTGTTAAAATCTTAATCTTGTTTAAAATGAACATGGACATGATGCATGATAAACACAAGTATTTTAAGAGAAGATATCTTAAAAATGCACTTGATATTAATTTCCTAATTATATTTATATATCTTTCTTTTAGGATGTTTCCTGAGCGTTTCCTGTCAGTTTTAAAACGGAAGATCGATGTTAAGTTTGATGCAGTTATTGGATATAAAAGTAAAGGAGAATAAGTGCTTGGTTTTTTGGAAATTGATTTACCAGGTTTAAGTTGATTTCATCCAACGTTAATCAGAATTTTAATGTTTGGACTTCTGCTTTTCTTATCTTTTTTTTTTTTCCTTCAATATCACCTTTTGAGGCTCTGGCAGTCCTCATTTATTATCACTGTTTTTAGCTGAAAGCTAATTTCATATAATACAAAGAGATAAATATCTGAGCAATTGCCTTATGAGAAATGGAGAAAAAGAACAAAAGCAGTTTTACAATAATTTCTGATTCTATGGCTCATCTGAAGGCTTTGCAAACTTTGTACTATAAATGTTTAAGATATATTTTTATTTTTAATTATACTTAAATTTTATATAATTCACATGTTTCTTTTCCCTATTGTACATAAAGTGGAAATCTCAAGCTCTCTAAATATAATGAAGGACTATATCTAGTAGCATTGCACAAGGAATTTTTTTCTGATATAAGAAATGTTCAAACGTTTTGTCCTACACATCACCCCCGTTTCTTGAGAAGTACCTCATAGTTCAGTGACAAACACTTCAGCACAGGGAAACCAGAAGTGGACACATGTTGCAAATAAATAAAATAAAATAAAAAACATCATTGGGATTTCAGGGAGATAAATGCAAGAATGTACACATAAGTGACAGTAATAATAAATGGATCAAACTTAAAGTTGTGGTGTTTCCATCTTTGTGTTTTGAATAAAACACGGCTTAATCTTCAACTGAAAGGAAAATGGATTATGTACTCAAAGGTCTTGGGGTTTTTGGGTGGTTGTTTTTTTTTGTATCTGGAAATATCTCAGATGTGAGACTCAGTGAGATGTATAAGTTCAGACTTATAAATTGAAAAAAATAATAGGTTTGTTGGATTTCTATTTAAAAATATTTTCAAGACTGTGTTAGACACATGAAGTAAAGAATATACATGTGACGTAAAGAACTTTGTTCTTAGATCAGAAAGTTCATACTCAGGAAACATAAACCTGAGTAACCGACCCATGTGAAATGTAGCAAATGAACCACATTTAGGTTCAGACACTTCATGGTAAAAGATTTTTATCCATTTTATAAGCAGGAATTAATATTCATTAACATGTGTCAGGTGCTACCTTAAACACTTGACTTATTGAACAAGTAATATCAATGCCACTGCAGATTCTAAGGGCCATATGACAGTCTAAGGAAGGTTATTTTATAGATTCTATACCATACAAGAGAATTTCAGGTGTCATTCCTATATAAATGTCTTCTTTTTGTCCATCAATTACTTTCCTCTAATATAGAGAATCAAAATATAATTACTGTTGGACTATTTCTTTAAAATATATATATATTTTTTTATTAATATTTTACAGAGAGGAAGGGAGAGAGATAGAGAGCTAGAAATGTTGAGAGGGAAACATCGACCAGCTGCCTCTTGCACACCCCCTACTGGTGATGTGCCCGAAACCAAAGTACATGCCCTTGACCGAAATCAAACCTGGGACCTTTCAGTCCACAGACCGACGCTCTACCACTGAGCCAAACCAGCTTCAGCTGTTGGACTATTTTCAACATTTAGTTGAAGTAAAGACACAACTCAGTAAAAATGCCTGATTTCCAAATCTTCATTACGTTTGAATATTGTGACTTCGATTCCTCTCCATACATTTGTCATACTGTAGTAGCACCCTACTAGAGTATCAATAATAATAAAAGTGTAATATGCTAATTAGACTGGACATGCTTCCAGACATCCTTCCTTCTGGACAAAGCTGCAGGGGGGGAGGGAGGCACCGAGGCAGAGGCAGCAGAGGTCCCTGGCTGCAGCGGTGGTGGGCGGGAGCTGGGGCCAAGGCCCTTGCGAGAATTTCATGCATCAGGCCTCTAGTCTATGAGACTGACACTAGGAGTCTGTACAGTCAGCTTCTAACTCATTCTCACTTTGAAATAAATGTAATAGATTATTCTTTTAGTTAAGTTATACCTATTCCAGTTTGCCCAGTGGAACCATGAGGAGAAAGGCTGGTAGAAGCTGATAGTGAAACTTCAATGAGATAACCGAGGTTCAAAGTGCACTAATAACTTGCCACGTTTCATCACATGTTTTGGCTCTTAACACAGTTGTCTGAAATCAGCACTTGGATGAACTTTGGCCTTAACTAATAGGGTGAAGTACTGCTTGGATACTAGACTGACAGAATGGCAATCAATTATTTTTATTGAATGTTACCCACATACAAGGCAGTTTGCCATTTCAATCCCCCGGCAATCCTGTGCAGCAGGCATTGTTGAAGGACTTGAAATGGCTGTGAACACAGCAGGAGTGAGTGGGAACCCAGAGGAACTTTAGAGGAGGAGCCCAACCAGGTGGGAAGGCAGATGATGGAATGAATGCTGTAGGGATTCTGAATTTAGTTCTTGGCATTAAAAAAAAAAAAAAAAAAAAAAAAAAAAAAAAAAAAAAAAAAAAAGCTTGCTACAATTCTACAATTCACCATCAGGCAATCACTACTATGACTCTAAGTTTGAAAACTTTTGTCATGTGAATGAAGTTAATCTTATCTCTGAACGTACTTTTCAACAGGTTTGCAGCCATTAATAGGGCTGCTTCTGAAGGTCACACAAAAATCAGAGGCTTACATTGTCTTGGGGTGAAAGAGGAAGACAACTCCTTATGTCAACCATTGTGGTCCTATACTAGGACCAATGGCTTGATCTTTTGTGGGATAAAAAAATCCTGACTATGGAAAGAAATCCACCCTCCAATGACATACCATAAATCCCTTCTCTGAGTCCTTGCTGTCACCCTGGAGCTCTGAAGCATCACGAGTTCAATTCCCAGTGCAGGGCACGTACAGGTGAGGATTTAAAAAATAAATAAATAAAATGCAGAGCCTATATATATATATATATATATATATATATATATATATATATATATTATTGATTTCTTACAGAGAGGAAGGGAGAGAGATAGAGAGTTAGAAACATTAATGAGAGAGAAAATCGATCAGCTGCCTCCTGCACACCCCCTACTGGGGATGTGCCCACAATCAAGGTATATGCCCTTGATCGGAATCGAACCTGGGACCTTTCAGTCCGAAGGCTGACGCTCTATCCACTAAGCCAAACCAGTTTTGGCTAAGCCTGAAAATATTGGAAGAGTCTTTTTTTTTTTTTTTTTTTTTTTTTTTTGACTGTCCTAAATTGTTTATTAGGTAAGAATTTTACAAACATTACTTACATTAGCGGTAACGGTGGAGCTGGAGAGTATTGCGCCTTCTCCAAGCAGCGCGGCGAGAACCACCAATGGTGTGGTGGAACTTGTGGCCCTTCCCAAGGCCACGGCTCTTGCGGCCAGCAGATGTCAGCCCTCGCATCTCCCTGCTTGTGGACTGGTTTAGTGATCCATTGGGTGTCGGGATTTCTTCTGATAGCTTTATGGAATGGATCAATGAGGATAACCTCAAAGAATTTGTACGTGGAATCTTCGCCACCCCAGTAAGAATTCAGGACTCTCAGAGCCCCACAGTGGCGTCCAGCTCTCTCTTCGGCAACAGACTGAAGACTCCGAGCAAACTTCAGCTGGTTAACACCGCGATGGACGGGCTTGCCATAGGTCGCACCCTTAGGAACAGGGCGTTTGCGGCCACCACGGCGCACGAATTCGATATATGACATAACCTTGCTTGGCCTTGTGGCCCAGCCTGCGCGCTTTGTCGGGCCGGGTGGGGCGGGGGGCCCTGTGCAGCGCGGAGAGCTGGCGGTACTGCCAGCAGCGCACCCTGAGAAGGAAGCGCATCACATCCGACTGCTTCTTCCTCCATAGCTCCTGGATGTTCTTGTAAGCGCCCATCTTGGCTTACCTTGATGGCTCTATTGGAAGAGTCTTAATCTACATTAGACATCACATCCTTCCCCCATATAGATAAGAATTCTCACTCTACCTTAGAGCCAATCTGACCAACTCAAGTTTCTGTTTTTCCCTTTTCTGTCTAGGGATGACTGGTCAACCTCAGAATTAGGAAGATGTGCCTTTTATTTTTGTAGTCTTCTCTATAGCTACCTAATCTCATGTAAGCTAGCCGTCCTGGAACCTCAGCTTCCTCACTTATAAAATTAGATTCCATAACCTCTTGTATTATCTCCAGTTCAAGTTAAATAAATGTCTATAATAGATACACGCAAAATCAAACATCTATCTTACCTGTATTTCCTAACAGAGAATGGCACTTCTGATAAAAACCTGCAGTTATACCTGTGCCCTTCCTTCTGGTCCTTATCCCTCACCCCACCAACATCTTCTAATACATACACACACACACACACACACACACACACACACACACACACACACACACACATTTAATATCAGTCACTATTCCCACATTTAGATTTTTCAGCCCAAATCTTTTGAACATCAGTTACATATCCAAATGCCTTCTTGACATCTCTGCCTGTATGGCCAACAGGAATTTCAAGGTAATACAGCCAAAATTAAGCATTTGATGTTATCCCGAAACTGCTCCAAACCTTGTTGATTCCCTGAGACCCTGACCCACCCAAGCTGTGAAGAGGCTTTTGCACTTGAATGGCCTGGTCCTTTGGTATCTAAAATTACCTCACAAACTGAAGTTGGGTCAGAGAGCCCCAGAGCTGCCAAAAGAAGGCCCAAGGCTCCACAGCAGCTTGCATTGCTTCACAGCTGGGCCTCATCTGGGCACCTCCAAAGCCCAAGCAAAGAAAAGGAATCTGCTGATCTCTCCATAGCTCCAGCTGGGTGGCCTCAGGCAAAGGCTAACTTTGCACCTCCTTGGAAATCCAAGAGCCAATGTACCCAGTGGTCAGAGTGGGATCATCCAGATTACAACTCCTCAGATCCATAAGGGACACACTCAGGGGGCAGATTCAGTGAGCACCAAAACCCCACTGAAGCAAGTCTTGTCCCATAAGGGTGTCTCCAGCATTGAAGTTCTCCTATCATAGACACAACTGATCCTCTTTGCCAATTGGCCTAGAGGTCAATTTCTCCCAGTGATTCCAACAAAAATCAAGGCTTAACTACAACAGGACTCTGCACATAGCCCGATAGCGTCCAGTGGCTCAGCCTCCTCAGGTGACTGAGCCACTGGACCCTAGAGGACACCTAGCACACAAAACCACTCTCTCATCTCAGGGAAGCAGCCGAAATGTGGAGACAAAGAAACATGTCACAAATGACAGAAATGGAGGAAAGCAAATGACTGGATATAGAGTTAAAAACCATGGTTATAAGTTTTTTCAAGAGTTTTCTAGAAACCGCCGATAAATTTAGTGAGACCCTCGAGGATATAAAAAAGGACCTACTAGAAGTTAAGCATACACTGACTGAAATAAAAAATAATATACAGGGATCCAACAGCAGACTAGAAAATCCCAAGAAACAAGTCAAAGCTTTGAAATACAAAGAAGAAAACAAAACAAAACAAAACAAAACAAAACAAACAAACAAAAAAAAAACACAACCAGAAAAGCAAAAAGAAAAAAGAATCCAAAAGTATGAAGATAGTGTAAGGAGCCTCTGGGACAACTTCAAGCATACCAACATCTGCCAGAAGAAGACAGAGGGCAAAATATTGAAAACCTATTTGAAGAAATAATGACAGAAAACTTCCCCCACCTGGTGAAAGAAATAGACTTACAAGTCCAGGAAGTGCACAGAACCCTGAACAAAAGGAATCCAAAGAGGACCACACCAAGACACATCATAATTAAAATTCCAAGAGCAAAAGACAAAAAGAGAATATTAAAAGCATCAAGAAAAAACAGTTAAAATCCTACAAAAGAGCACCCATACAATTGTCAGCTGATTTCCCAACAGAAACTATGCAACCCAGAAGGGACTGACAAGAAATATTCAAAGTGATGAATAGTAAGAACCTACAACCAAGATTACTCTACCCAGCAAGCTATAATTCAGAATTGAAGGTCAGATAAAGAGCTTCATAGATAGAAAAAGCTAAAGGAGTTCATCACCACAAACCAGGATTATATGAAATGCTGAAAGGTATTCTCTAAGAATAGGAAGAAGAATAAAAAGGTGAAGATAAAAATTATGAACAACAAATACATATATATCAACAAGTGTATCTAAAAATCAAGTGAATAAAAAATCTTATGAACAGAATAAACTGGTGAATATAATAGAATCAGGGACATAGAAAGGGAGTGGACTGACAATTCTCAGGGGAAATGGGGTATGGGGGTGCAGGAAGAGAATGGACAAAAATCGTACACATATGGATGAGGACAGTGGTGGGGGGGATAAAGGCAGAGGGTGGGGTGGGAACTGGGTGGAGGGGAGCTATGAAGGGAAAAAAGAGGAACAACTGTAATCTGAACAATAAAGATTTATTTTTTAAAAAAACAATGAAGCAAACTGGTATTTGCATCTGACTTTTGAGTAAATTAAAGTAAAACAATCAAACAAATATGCTATCCTATAAGATTTAAGATATAAGATATCTTCAGAACAAAAAAGAAGGTGCTATATCATAAAAGGAACATTCTTAAAACAAAAGGAGAAATCTTGGAAATTAAACATGATATTATAGATTTTAGAAATGTAATAAAAGATGTAGGAGATAAAGCCAAAAAATTTCACAGAAATTAAAATGAAAAGACAGATTTTTTTTTTTCATCTTGTATTTCAACTTTAATTGATTCAGAGGTGGTGTCTAGACTCTGAGAGAAAGTGATGGCATGGATTAGCAATGTATTTTGTTTTGGTTTTTGGTTAATCCTCACCAAGGATACTTTTTTCATTGACTTTTTTTTTTTAATATTTAGTAAATTTACTCAAATGAAGCTTAAATGATACAGAATTGATAATATTAGAAATCTATATACAATAGAAAGTGAATATAAATGAGCCAACTCTTATGAACATTTCCAGCTAAGCACACACAAATACATATTCATCTCTTTTTTTTTTTATAGGAAATAGAGGCCTGTTGCAGAAAGATTCCTGCAATAGGGCTTCCTGCTTTGGTCTCCACCATGCTTCCCTCCCTTCTCCACAGCCCCACCTGCTTCCCTTCCTTCTCTCCCCACCCCACTTGCTTGCTTCTCCACAGCTTGTGGACATAGCAAAGGTATGGTCAATTTGTGTGTTTCTTTTATTAGATAGGATAACACACACATACATGACATGATGATTCTGGCAAAAATATTTCAGAGATATTAAAAATATTCTCAAGTTTTAAAGATGTTGTAGAGTAAGTTTTTTATTTATTATTTATTTATTTATTTTTATTGATTGATTAAGGTATTATATATGTATCCTTATTTATTGCCTCCTCCCCCTCCCACACACACACACACACTCATACCCTTACCTCCTGATGTTTGTGTCCATTGGTTAGGCTGATATGCATGCATACAAGTCCTTTGGTTGATCTCTCTCCCTTACCCCCATCCTCCCCTACCTTTCCTCTGAGGTTCGACAGTCTGATCAATGTTTCTCTTTTTCTGGATCTGTTTTTGTTCATCAGTTTATGTTGTTCATTATATTCTACAAACAAGTGAGATCTTATGATATTTATCTTTTCTCTGACTGGCTTATTTCACTTAGCATAATGCTCTCCTGTTCTATCCATACTATTGCAAATGGTAAGGATTCCTTCTCTTTTTACAGCAGCATAGTATTCCATTGTGTAGATGTACCACCATTTTCTAATCCACTCATCTGCTGATGGGCACTTAGACTGTATCCAAATCTTAGCTATGTTAAATTTTGCTGCTATGAACATCGGGGTGCATATATCCTTTCTGGTTTCTTGGGATATATTCCTAGAAGTGGGATCACTTGTCAAATGGGAGTTGCATTTTTAATTTTTTGAGAAGACAAAGAGATTTTAAAAAAGAGAGAAATAAAACCAGAGTACCAAAAGAGTTCTAGAGAATGGAGAGGGAGAAAATTAACAAAGAAAGATTACCAAAAAATGTCCCATTCATTTAATTGTGACTTCATTTGTTCACTTTTTAGAGAGTGTCTACTATGTGCCAGATTCTATTCTAGGTGAGGAAAATTCTGTAGGGAACAGTAAAGCAGTAAAATTACTGATCTCCTAGAGTTTATTCAGAAACAAATGCTATAACTTTTTAGATGGAAATAGTTCCCTGAATATCATGTGCAATAAATGAAAAAGATTGACGTTGGAGCCCCTTTCACGTCCTGCGTGGTTCAGGGCTCCTGGTCAGGGCTCGGGTTCTGGAGAAGGCTGCATGCAAAATCAAGAGAGGCTAGAAAAGAATTCATTTGGGAAATTGGGGGGCCAGGCGGGAGTCCACCTCTACGGGGAGGACTACCACTGCTCTGGCTTTGGTATCCCTTTTATTAAGGTTATGAGATACACCCATATCATTTAGGCAGGAAATTCCAATAATAGTACATTATATGGCTCATTTGTGAATAATAATTACACAGTCATAACAATGTAAACTCTGAATATTTACTTAGTTAAAAGGATTGTGGGGTTCCAGGCCAAGATGGCAATGTGGGGAGATCTTGAACTTACATCTTCGGGGGACACACTGAATTTACAGCTATATATGGGCCAATTTCCTCTAAAAAAGATCATATAACTGTACTGGAAGAATAAAGGCTGAAAAACTGCAAGTTTAGAGAGGAGCTATTG